CATATGGTAATTTTATTGGAGCAGCAATACACAGTCCATAATATATGGGAAAGATGCAGGACAAATGCATCTAAGGAGAAGAGTGGAAGCTACATCTGTGGTTTACTGGAGTACCGTAGTATAGGATAAAGTTGCGTCCCTTGGTACTTACCATTATAAAAGCTAGGAGTACTAAAGAGGCATAACATACAGCTTCCAGAGCAGTGATTCTCAACAGGAGTGCCATGGCAGCTGGGGTTCTGCTAGATCTTTTGAAGGTGCCTTGAGGTATAAGGAGGTAATCAGACAAGCATAGGCTGAGGCTTGCCTGGCTAGTACCCCATCCTACTGCTCAGCCCTTCTGCAAGAGAGTTAGAACTGTAATATGTAAATCAGCTCTTAAAATTGAGTGTCACTCAGTTCACAAAAGTTATGGAGGGATGCCTTAAGTCCAGGAGGGGTGTCAAGTCCAAAAAGGTTGGGGACTACTGTTCTAGAGGGAGGAAATATTTCCTGTTCCCCTAGCACAGGGGCAAGCAAAATATGGCCCACAGGCCGGATCCATCCTGCCAGGCCATTCTATCTGGCTCATGAAGCCCCTAAAAAACTCTGCCTGCTGCTGCTTTCACTGCTTCCCTGCATGGCCACTCCAGCACGACATGGCCCGTGACTACACATGCGCATCCCTGCAATGAGGGGGAGAGCAATGAGGGAGGGAGAGACTGTGTGTGTGTGTGTGTGTGTGTGTGTTCATAGGGCGAGTCCCACATGCACACCCCACCATAAACATGCCCCCAGACCCACACTCTCCCCCACAAACAGTCCCCAACAAACCCCATATTCACCCACACCCCACATATCCACACACCCTTCTCCACACCCCACAGACCCGCACACCAACAGCCCCCCACAAACCTATACCCACCTCTCCATGCCCCCCATCCCCCCAACAATATACAAGAGTAAGACTTCATTTTAAGCTATTGTGCGATCTCCTCTGTGTACACTACACAAGCGCATGTAAATCGGGACAAAAATATTTTTTGAAATCAAATTAATGAATGTAGATGTCTGATTTTTAGAATATAATTTGGTTGGGTTTTTTTGGTTCTGAGATGGCAAAACCCCTTACTGAAAGGAGTATTCCTGGGGGCAAGGGGAGGGACTTCTGGTGGCAAAATTCAGGGGTTAAGGAGCAGAACTTTTGATCACAAGATGGCAACCAGGGGCTGGAGCATCTAAGGAGCGGGGCTCATATAAATGCATTTATTCATGTTGTTATGTACATGTACTATGAATTAGCTGCCTGTGGCCCTAAAGTTCAGCAGTACCTCTGGTGGAAACGATACTTGACCATACTACAATTGGTTCAGTTCCATGCGACTTTTAGCCGTACAGCCTGGTCTATTTATATTGATTATCCCTTTCCCAAATGGATGCACTGGGGTGTAATTTTCTATGCTGTCACCTTTATTCTCTTGTTTGGCAACTTCTACTATTGGACATATAAACTAAATTTGTATTAAAAATACCATAATTTGGGGCTTGTTTAGCAGTGATTCTCAGCTGGGGTGGTGCAAGATCCTTCCAAGGGTGCCATGATGCCTGACTCTTGTGCCAGGAGGTAAGCAATTGCTCCTCCTCCCTCTCAGAGCTGGGCATCCAGCATCCCATAGAGAAGCGATGCCTGCAGTTGTTCTCTGCTCCAGCAGCTCGCATGCCAGTCCCCATGCTCCCAGCAATGTGCTGTGCTATGCATATAAGCAGCCATGGGTGCTGTGAAACTGCACTTTTCAGCCTGGCTCATCCCCTGGCCCTCCCTACCCTGCTCCCTCCTGGAAGGGCAGGAGGGACTACAGGTGGATCTATCTCCAGTTGCAGGTGTCCCTGGAGGAGCAGTGCTTTTCTCCTCAGGTACTGGGGCTGGGAGGTGGCACATGGTGGGAGAAGTAGGGAACAGTGGAGCAAGTGCCTGCCCTCCAACCCTCACCTAGCATAAGCTAGATTCTAGCTCATTAGTTCTCAACCAGGCTGCCCCCTAAATTTCAAAAAAATTATGAAGGAAGACCTTGAGGCTAAAAAGGTTGAGAACTACTATATTAGCAGGTTTTCTTCTAAATGTAGAAGGTATTTTGACTGCGTCTTGAACAGGAATCTGGATCTTTGCACAAAAGTAATATCCAAGACACACAACCTCTAGCATGTACTTGCAAAGCAGATGTTTGTAAGAATCATAACATTCATTTTGCTCAGTGTTCTACTAATGGGGTATCCAATTTATTTTCTATAGGAGTTGATTTGTCCAAAGTGGAAAAGCTCCGGAATGCAGGCCAACTCCTAGTGAGGCTGGATTTTGAAAATGACATTAAAAAGATCCTATTATTTCTTAAGGATGTGGGTGTGGAAGACAATCAGCTGGGGCCCTTCCTAACAAAAAACCCTTACATTTTCACTGAAGACACAGAAGCTCTAGAGACAAGGTATTTGTTTTATGAATCAACAAGCTCCAGGCTCCTTTATGCAGTGCCAGCTAACTATAATTGCATGTCTAAATTTACCCATCTAGAAACAGGTACTAGTATTTTTTTAAGTCTAATATTTAAATACTTTACAGTTTCACTGTGGAGCTGATGCTGTGTTGGCAGGGTCCTAAGGAAGCATGCTTAATGTGGCCACCTATTTCCATGTACTTATACCATAAACCAGTGGTCACCAGTGTTTTTTCCAGTGGTGGGCTAGAATGACTCAGCTCCGGTCTCAGGCAGGCTTTTCCTCACACTCCAGCTGTGTCACAGCATGGTCAAAACTCACTACCTCCAAGCTGCAGATAGGCAGGAGTGTGAGGCTGTGGCTGGCGGCAGCACAGAGCCTGCACTTGGGGGCGGCGGCAGTGTGGACCTTGGGTGGGTAGTGTGTGCATGTGAGGGAAGATGGGGGGTATGGGGACCCCTCTGCCACATTCTCCTTATGGCGTGCAACCCTAGCAGGCAGGGGAGGGACTTCCAGGGGTCAATGGTTATGGGCAGGACTTCCAGTTCCAAGATGGTGACCAGGGGTTGAGGCAACTGTCAAGGGGTGGGGCTACCCATGCAACCCTTGAAAGCTCACCAAACCTCGTTAAGCAGCCCTCCACCCAAAATAATTGCCCACCCCTGCCATAAATTATTGGTTGCCTTTTGCCTTTCTCTGAGCCCCTGTCATTTTGTTCCACTTCTTTTCATGCCTTCCTGTTTCTGGTGGTCTGCACTTTTGGGTACCTGCCACCTTTACTTGAATTACCTAGCGCAAATAAAGACTAACCATGTTGGACTTAAGTCAGACAGAAGGCCCTGCCCCTCCCTGCCTCCTACCTAACAAGAATGCAGAAAAGTGCTACTGTCTAAACAGGGAGCAGCAATGCACTTATACTCGTTGCTAGACTTAGATCTAATTATACAGGGTAATTAGTTGTGTGCACTGATAAAGATTTTCTTGGCCGATACCGACAGCCTATGATTAACCAACCATATCAGCCGATGCTGATCCGATAACCGATATTTCTTAATAGTACAAGGCATTTTAAACAACTTACATAAATTTGTTTGTTTGTTTGCATTTATAAACACCTGCACACACACCTGCTCTGGCCCCCAATGAAGAAGGTGGTGACCGCCTTTTTCTCATTCACATTGTCCCCTCACCCATGGCTCCTACCTGCTCCCTGCACATCCCATGCTGTCATCCTGGGTGGCAGGGCAGACCCTTGTGCAGACAGCGGTGCCAGGTGTGTTTGGAGCCCCAGAGCGCACTGCTGCCTGGTGGGCTCCATGCAGCCAAGCTCCAGCAGCTGCTGTTGTGAAGTCGATTTTGCAAAGGTGCCCAGTTCCCTCGGTCCTAGGGAAGCTCTGAGAAAATTATCCAGGAGCACATCTGCGAGGGACCAGCAGGTGGTTGCCCCTAAGCATGATCCCAACATGGGTTCATTTGAGGCAGGTCATGTCAGACCAACTTGGTGGCCTTCTACGACCAGGTCACAAAATCCTTGGATGCAGGTGTCACAGTTGACGTAGTCTTTCTGGACTTTAGGAAGGCCTTCGACCCTCTCTCACCCCATCCTCATTAAGAAATTAGGTGACTGTGGTGTCGATGCCTTCACAGTCAGATGGGTCAGAAATTGGCTGGAGAGCCGCACCCAGAGAGTGGTGGTGGACAGGTCTTTTTCAACCTGGAGGGGTGTGGGCAGTGGGGTCCCCCAGGGCTCAGCCCTCGGGCCCGCACTGTTCAACATCTTCATCAGCGACTTGGACAAGGGGGTGAAAAGCACCTTGTTCAAATTCGCGGTTGACACTAAGATGTGGGGAGAAGTGGGCATGCTGGAGGAGAGGGACAGGCTACAGGGGTGGGCGGATGAGAACAGGATGGGTTTCAATACTGACAAGTGCAAGGTGCTGCACCTGGGGAGAAAGAACCAGCAGCATACCTACAGGCTGGGGAAGTCCCTTCTTGTCAGCACAGAGGCAGAAAAGGATCTTGGAGTCATTATTGATGCCAAAATGAACATGGGCCGACAGTATGGGGACGCGGTCAGGAAGGCCAACCACACCTTGTCATGCATCTACAGATGCATCATGAGCAGGTCCAAGGTGGTGATTCTCCCCCTCTATGCGACACTGATCAGGCCGCAGTTGGAGTACTGCGTCCAGTTCTGGGCCACGCATTTCAGGAGGGATGTGGACAGCATCGAGAGGGTCCAGAGGAGGGCCACTCGCATGATCTGGGGGCAGCAAGGCAGGCCCTACGAGGAGAGGCTACGGGACCTGAACCTGTTCAGCCTCCACAAGAGAAGGCTGAGAGGGGATCTGGTGGCCATCTACAAACTGGCCAAGGGGGACCAGCAGGCATTGGGGGAGTCCCTGTTCCCCCGAGCGCTACTGAGAGTAACTAGGAATAACGGCCATAAGTTGACTGAGAGTAGATCAGGCTAGATGTCAGGAGGCGCTACTTCACAGTCAGGACGGCTAGGATCTGGAACCAACTTCCAAGGGAAGTGGTGCTCGCTCCTACCCTGGGTGGGGTCTTCAAAAAGGAGGCTGGATAATCACCTAGCCGGGATCGTTTGACCCCAGCATTCTTTCCTGCCCATGGCAGGGGGTCAGACTTGGTGATCTACTTACATCCCTTCTGACCCTACATCTATGAATCTATGAAACTATGCCCAGCAGAGTGGAATGTCCCTTGTGCAGCAGCACCTTACCCTGCCCATGTGCAGACCAGCAGCTCTGTAGCAGCCCTGGCGCTCAGGCCCTAATGCATGCATAGCGTTGTCATGGTGGCAGCAGCAGCAG